GTGAGACCGCATCTGGAATATTGTGTCCAGTTCTGGGCCCCTCAGTTCTAGAAGGACAGGGAGCTGCTGGAGAGAGTCCAGTGCAGGGCAACTAAGATGATTAAGGGAGTGGAGCATCTCCCTTATGAGGCAAGACTGAGGGAGCTGGGTCTCTATAGTTTGGAGAAGAGGAGACTGAGGGGTGACCTTATAAGTGTCTATAAATATATAAAGGGGGAGTGTCACGAGGATGGAGCCGGGCTCTACTCAGTGGCAAACAATGATAGGACAAGGGGTAATGGGTACAAACTGGAACACAAGAGGTTCCACTTAAACTTGAGAAGAATCTTCTTCTCAGTGAGGGTGACAGAACACTGGAACAGGCTGCCCAGGGAGGTTGTGGAGTCTCCTTCCCTGGAGACATTCAAAACCCGCCTGGACACATTCCTGTGTAACATTATCTAGGTGTTCCTGCTCCGGCAGGGGGATTGGACTAGATGATCTTTTGAGGTCCCTTCCAATCTCTAGCATACTGTGATACCGTGATACTGTGAATCCCATCTCAGCTTCTCATACCAATCTTTGAGACAATGGACAGAGGATTTTGATTTCAGTTCAGTCTCTCACAATCCTATAGTTGCAAATTTGCTGCAATTAAGATAGTGCTGTGAAACATTTACTGAATCAGTATTTTCTGAGCACCCTGTGAGTGCTTTTAAAAATTTCTGAACAAATGTAAATATAGGAGCTGCTAAGTCTAGGAAGTTTTGAAAATTGTGCAGTTTCAAATGGGAGACAAGTTTTTCAACTTACTTCTCTAAAATTTATTAGAAACACTTTAAAATGATATGTGTGAATACACTGGAATAAATTGTTCAGTACTGCAGATGGAAAAAGAATTTTGTTCTATGTATTACATAGCCATCAAGATGTCCTTGATTTTAGCATTCATTTTAACATTATGACAATAACATATTAATGGCAAAAGATAATCCTTACCTGTTCTATGTGAGCATTCTGTGGTTGTTAAGACAATTTCCTTCACTATTGACTAGTGAAAAATCATGGACACATGATACTGTTACACTGGGTTAAGTGTGTGGTCTCTGTGTGTCTGAATTAAGACATATGACTTCCAATTTCTCTTTTATGGAAAATATTCAGATTCCATTTTTTAAATAAATTATATGACAAAACTAGCAGGATGTTGCTTTTGATGGTTTGAATATTGTGTAAAGAGCAATATGGTTAAAAATGTATTTTGTTGAGCAAAAGGGTATGCTTTGCAATGATTTTCATGCACTGTATATGATGCATGAAGCCGTGAGACATAATACAAGAAAAGGGAAATTAAGAATGTCTAGCACCTCTGCAATTCCACTTTGTTGCTGAATGATCACCAAGGCTGGGCCTACAAATCTGTTGAAGCAATTATTTATAACTTCAACAAGAGCCTTAGAATTTAAAAAAAAATATATATATATATTTTAAAAGCTGATTTTGCTTCATAGCACATCACTGCTCTTTTTCTTTTTATGCTTGGAGACAGATGAACTCAGTAATATCTGACTTTGGCATGTGCAGAGCATGGTGGGAGAGTGATGAACACAGAGAGTCTCCTGTCTTACCTTTCATTGCCAGACTTCTGCTTTTCCAAGACAGACAGATGCAAATAAGCATAACTGGGGAAGTGACTCGTTCACAGAGAGCAGCACATAGCCATAGACCCAGGAAACATGATGCATGTGAAAGATGTGGCCATCTAAGTGTAGTCTTCACACCTGTCCTTAGAGAATCATGAAAATTGTCTCAAACCAACCTTTTTCTGTATTGAAAACAAAGACTGAAATGGACATTTACATCAATGAATCTTGGGAGAGCTGATAGGTGATTTTGTTTAAATTCTTTTGATTGCAGCAGAAATCAAAATTTATTTTGCTGGAGGGTGACTTACCAAGCAAAGCATATTAAATCATTCTGCTTCCAAGGGAGAGTGAAGCAGCAGCTATATATCCATGCTGAAGAGGTAAGATGTCTGTTAGATGTTCATTGCACATATTTATGTCTCAGCTGCAAACTGAAAAGTATTCATTAATTTTGTATATTGTAAAAGTGTTTCCAGGTATGCCTTTAGCTTTTTGGTTAAGTCTGAGCTTGTACAAACTGCAAATTCTTTTTATGCCTACCTTACTGTTTAATTTTTCACCTGTCAAGAAGTTGCAGGAGTTTCAGTGCAAGACAGTAGTATAGGGCTGGCAAGATGCAACCTGCCATATTAAAGGACACATATTCTGTGCTAATGGCACAAATGGTGACTGTCAGGTCTTCACAGCACAAGTCCTGCAAAGTGATCTGATTTTGTGTGAATTGAGAACATCTTTGTAGGTTCACATTTCATATAAATGTTGCAGGACTTGCAGGCTTGTGTTGTGTTGTCTTGTTCCATGACTGTTAGTCTCCAGCAGACCTTTAACAAGAAAGCTGCCACACAAGAAAAGTTTTACTTTAGATTAGCAGTGCTGGTACAGAAAACATGGGAACCAAATTTGCTGTAGGTCTCTTGCCTTGGACAGGTCTGTGGTTGAACACAAGTCTCTGACACACACTTGTAGCACAAATACAAACAAGCATTTACTTGTGATGTGAAGAGGCGAGGAAATGCTGTGGCTGTACATTACTGGCTACATCTTCTACTGTGTGGCCCAAATGTCCATAATGCAATTACAGTACTGCTGACAGACTGAGAGCAAGTTGCTTAAGTTCTTGTCCCTCCTAAGGAGCAGGTTGTGAGATACTGCAGGCTATGATCAGAGGTAGACTCAGCTGAGCACTGAAATATGGATACATACAGCATAGCATACCTTAGAGAGCATACAGAGCCTTAATCTTCTTGCCCGTCATAATGGGTTTTGGAAGCAGTATGGGAATGAAGGAGAGGATAGGGAGTAATTCTAAATTTCTGACAAGAATTATACTTTGCTCAGTAGTGAAAATATTGGTGTAGAAACCTAGAGGGAATCGGTGGTTTTCCAATCCAGAGAAGGAACTCTGAGCTCTTTTTGCAATGCATTTACTGCAGCAAATACATTTAGTGAAAATGAGAAACGGCACACGTTGAGAGTAAGTATGGCAGAAACAAAGGCTTTTTTCAGCTTATTAACAGTCTTCAATGTTTAAGAGGTTTTAATCCCTATCAGAAATCACAGCTTCTTCATTTTTTCAGCATATTGAACATTCAGTTCATGTAAATGGAATTTTTTGCTTATACATTTGAGAGATATGAGAAGTCTTAGTAAAACAACAGGATATCTTAAAACAACCTCAACATTTAGAATTCTGAAAAACAAAATGTGATTCTTTCAGATAGCTGGAGTATGTTTTTTTTTTTAAGATGTAATGAAATTAGTAGGATTTATAAACCATACCTAGATCACTGAATTATGCTGGGTATTTTTTTTCTTCCAGAGAAAAAAGACTTTGTACAGGAAAATGTCATTTCAGTAACTTCAGCTGCTTCCTGTTTACTACATACAGATGAAAGTGATATCAATGCACTTGTACTGTTGATTATACTGTCAGCTGAAGGTAAAACTGACTGCTCTGTGCCCACTCAGAACTGTTTCATTACATGTGTCATTATTAGCCTTGTAGCTGGCTCTTAAATAATTAATATTCTTTGTATGAACTGATACCACCATGGTCCATGCTAAGTAGCATGCTGTGAAATAACTTAATGGCCTTTCTCCATGTCTTCAGAGTCACTGATGATAATCTGGAATTTTGCTTTGCTTTACTAAACTGCAGCAATAAAAGAAGTAACGAAAACGTCTCCAACAGTGATACAAAAAAATAATATCAGATGATACCAATCAAATTAGAGGTAATGCATCTTGCATCTGCAGGCATATAACCACTCCTTCCTCTCATTGGAAGGAAGACTTGGGTTTAATGAAAAATCTCTAATGCTTTTCAAATCTGTAATTTTTCCCCATTCTTAGTCCACAATAAGATGGGTGTCCTTCCAATGAAGTACTGGACTGTGGTCTATCAGACTTACATAAATGAAAGGAGACCCAAGGCATTTAAAATGTTTTGGTTTCATTTTGGTAAGTATTCAGAGGAGTAAGATTAAACTCTGTTAATATGGGCAAATCCCACGGTACTAGCCTTAGGTTATTTGAAATCAAGGACACCCCTTTTCCTTAGTAAGAGTACTGTGTAATATATTTACAGAGGAGGTGTTACTTTGAAGTTAGGTTCTTGTCTTTGATCAAAAGCATACAGCTTTCCTCATGTTTCTCAGAAAGAGAGTGGTTTTATCGCTCTGGTATGGTTTGTTTTTTTTTTTATGTTTTGGACAGCAAAAATGACATTTACATGAAACAGTAATCCTGGGAATGTATGAGATAACACAATTTCAACTATGAGTTGAGAGAAAGTCTCACAAGCAGACTTTAAATCATGTAGAAGCAATAGCATGTCATACTCCCTTTGCCTCCCTTACCTGCTGTTAATTAAAGTACTGATAAAGGAGGTCTGTCAACATTAATATGATGAAAAGTAAAACGTGTTTAAAATTTTCTAGATGAAAGTAGTGTTAATCAGTATGACAGAAAAAAAGGTTTTGAGTAAATGCTCTTAATTCAGCATGCTCATTTAAGAACTGTAAATATACCACAGCAGAGCTTTTTAATCCACGAAGGGAAGGGCATGGAGACTGACAATGCAGTACATTTTTGTGGTTCCTAAGTAGGATAGAGAAGGTACAATGCTATTAAAGGGAAAACTGCTTAAGTACTGGCTTGCTTAGTCTTTGTAGGCACTCAGAGCACTAACTTTATCAGGGCTGTGTATTTGGATCAATGACATTATTTTTCTTGTGGTTTTATACTGACTGGCTGTAGATTATTATATGATTTTTTAAATGCAAACATGAACGTGTCTATCCTGTGGGGAATAAGGGAATCTGGGAGAATAACATGCTGTGTACACTCAGCAAGGAAACACTGCTGAGGCATCTCTGTAAATATTTCTTTTAATAAAGAGTTTCTAGCCTATTGTGCAGCATACAGTAAGACTGGAATACTGCAGATGGGCCAACCATTGGAGCTCCTCTTTATGGACACATACCTAGCCTTATCTTGGCTAACAGTGGGAATAAGTAGCTCTATTGTTTTATTTCTGTGACATGTTAATGCATCAAAGACATTTTCTTAAATGATTCTTTGAAGCAACTGGATCTTCTTTACCGAGACCTGTGATTGCAGAGCTATCAAATACGTTATAGCACAAATGGCACTGTAACAAAAAGATTGCCTTATCCGAGCATCATGTCTTTTTCAATATGCATTGTAATTGTGCAGTGTCGATGAAACACTTGCCTACCTACAAAAAAAGTATTAGGAAGCTATTTACTCTGCATCACATCTCTTATTGTCACCTAGCAGGTCTAAATGCAAAAAACTAGTGCTGTGTGCTTAGCTACATACTTCTTGTTGTCAGGAAACAGTGGGTTTGGACATCTGCATTATAGCAACTGTGTTACCCCTTCAAGGAAATTAAGGGCCACTTTTGGGAGCTAAATGAGAATGTCAACTCAGCCCATGTTACAATCATCTTTGAGGTTTGTTTGGCCAAAGCTCAGCTTCCCATATGGGCCTGCCTCGTGTCCAGAGTCTAGCCTGGAAATAAAAGGAGACAAAGAATTATGACCCATTCATATTTCTGTGTGGTTTAATTCTTTTTAACTAGGAGAAAACAAAAGCATTTTCTTTTGATATAACTTTTTATGATTTAGTATTCTTAAAATGCTGAACTCAAAAATGGTAAAAGTCTGATGCCTAACCAATCAAATGGCTGTTTTTTTTTTAAAAGGGCAAACTAGTATGTAATATTAGTAATAGTAGTTTGAAAAGTGCAGGCAAATAAGGTCCAGCTACTTAAATTTCTGGAGAAAAAGGGGCTATAGCTCTGTAGCAAGTGTATGCCTTTGTTCTTCCAGTTACTGTATTGTGCTGGGTAGGATTCCACAGAACAGATTCGTGCTGGTAAAATTCTTTCAACAGAACTGGACTATCTTGCTTTCCACAATTTCCTGCATTATGTAATTCTTACCCTTGAAACAAAATTAGACAAAAGAACTTGAAGTACTTGAGTAAAGAACTATAAATTATTTTGAGAGGTAACCTCTGTCATTCAAACAGCATTTGTGCAATTTACAAATCAAACTTCTTACTCAACTTTGCACCTTGTGCATTATCTTTACAATATGAAGCAACACAACCTTTTTTTTCCTTTTATTCTTTTTTTTTTTTTTTTAATATATACCTAAATACAACTATGAACATTTAAAATACTCAATGTTTCATGTACCTTTTTAAAACCTTTGTGGGCTTCCATGATAAGTCTGACTTGAAATGGGGTTGTCTGGAACTAGGAAGCACAGCTACAGAAGAGGGTAGTTTTGGCTAACCACAGCTATCAGAGAGAACATACAGAACATAGCTTGATTTGAGATGGAACAGCAATACTTTTTGAGGTTTTGTTTCTGAACATTCTCCATTATGCTAACTTATTGCTTCCAGCAGCTTCCTTAAAAGTATTTCTACCTCAAACTCTTCATCTCCTTCCCAGGATCATACCCCTCTCTTCCCAATGATTTTTTGTTTTTTGGATTCTTTGTCTCTGTTATAAGAGCTCCCATATAAATAATGAAAATTAAGGTAAGTTTCTTTTCCCCTGTATCTGACAGGCAGCACTAACAACATACCTCTAGCTATTATCATTTTCCTCTGCTTCACCCCTGCCTTTTAAATTTTGGAATGATATCTGCCTGTTGGTCTGGGTCTTTACCGTACCTAGCATGTGGGAGTACTGATCTTTGTTAATCTGTAATGATACTATTATCTTTTAATTTAGTTTGAAAGGGAGTTTCATCATCTTGAATTCAGAACTGAACAGGAAGAAGTATAATTACTCTGAAGTGTAAGTGGAAATAAATAACAGAAAAAAATCTTCATTATTGTTTATGGTTTTTTACATAATCCAAAATAATAAATTCTTCTTCCATTCTACATTATAGCCTTCCCTTAAGAGAAACAGGAAATTAAATGAGGCATCAATAATGTCAAAAATCAAGATGCAATTAAAAAGACTGGGAGTGTAAGGGCTCAGAAATACCAGAGTGCTTTTGGACCTTCAGTTTGCACTTCATTAGCAGAGCACACAAACTTTCACTCGAGTTGTAGTCACCTCTACAGCTTTGTCATAAGAGTTCACAGCTAAGAGAAATACCTTTTGGTATTTCCTTTTCCACATCAATCCCCTTGTCTTTGTTTTTCTTCAAATACTGATTTCTTTATGCTTCTCGTGCCCTGAGAAGCGTAGAAATGAGAGACGTGAAAAGAAGTCTTGGAAGTATTTTAACAAAGCAGCTTTGGTGTCACAAACTCCTGCCTGAATGTATGGGAACATATACGGTGAAAGTACTCTCTCTGCATTATTAATAATGCTATCAACTGAATAGCATAATGCTTTATAACTTTATAACCTTCTTCCAAAATTAATTCTGCATTCTATAAAAATTAAATCCGTCTAAGTATCTACCAATTCAGTGAAGTCATATAAACCAGATTATTTCTTATTTTCAACAGAGTAATTCTTCGTGTAAATTATCATGAAATTTATTGCTCAACTTCCTGTTGGTCTTAAAATGAAAATGATCTAAGTCTGTCAGAACTGCAGAATGGTGTGTATGTCCACTCATCTCTAGATGCTATTTTTTAAAAAAACAACCCAAATACTCGCACTTCAAATATCAATTAACCCCTTGTTTGAAATTAATAGCTCAGGATCCTCTAGCTGTTTAAAGAATGCACATTTGCAGGGCACCATGACCTATGCATCTCTGATGAAGACTGGTTATGTCTGTTCTATTTGTCATCTTTGAAGTATGTCATATAGAGTCATGTCTAAAATGTGAAAGGTTTTGGAAGAGAGACACAATGCACTTACTTACATGCAATCGGATTAGATTTATTTTGTGTAATTTCTAGCAAGTGCATTGTTACAAGGTGCATGCTGGAGAATGCTGGTGACCTACGCACACCTTGAAAATTAGTACAAGGCAAATTAGCAGAGAGTCACTGAATTTGCCAGGGGCATTTAGAGAATTAATAAAAGGTGTTCAGTGTAGATGCTGTATGAATAATGTAAATTCAGTCAGCATTGTTCAGTTAAAAATCTGTCTGACACAGACATGCACTCTGTTCATGTCTATAGACAGTCTTAAAAACAGCTGGGTTTATAAATGAGATAAAGCTTACTATTTAAATCAGTTGCTTCATTTGATTTTTATTTCAGCATCCTGAAGGTTTAAGAAGAACCAGTGTTTTGGCCCTCAGGCATTTCCCCTGCCTGCTTAGGAGTGCCTACAGCCAATACTGACTTGGTTACAAATGTGAAAGCACCATTTGTATGAATACCACAGATGCTCTTATTTCTGAGGAATGAGAAGCAATTCTATGGCCAATTCTCATGATGCTGATTTTTAAAACAGATCAAATATGGAAGCAGCAGGGGAAAAAAATCAAAGATGTCTTTCCTATTTAATATAGGCTTTTGGATGAAGTAACCATCCAGAATTAGATTTCAGAAGTATTATCCCTTTTCTTTACAGAATGAAACATTACAGACTTATGATACCAGGGGAAAAAGCTGGCTCTCCTAGTGCATGATCTGTTATATAAAGTACTCAGACAGCTGATTAATCTATGGGAGTTGGTAATCATTTGACTCTGGATATTTTGTTCATTTTTTTTTTTTTTCAGTGATTCATGAAGTCCTTATCAGAATTCAAAAAGCACTTCACGAATCAACTAGGAGCTTAAAAAAAAAATTAGCAGTAATGAGCTCATTTCCATAGAAATAGGACTAGGCTCACTGGTGGGTCAAACTGTTTTCTGCACTTCCCCTTTCCAGTAGTTTTTGCAGTTCTTCTCCATTTATTTCATGCATCATTATCTTCCATTTTCTGTATCTCTAAACCATGCCATTTGTCTTTTTGTTCTCTACCCAGCAACTGCCACTTCAAGGTATCTCAAAATGGTGGTAAAAAATTGTCATCCATATTTCACTCAAGAAAGTTTAAAATTCATTGTCATATTGAAAGCCATTATTCATGACAGTTTCCTCAACAGATTACAAATCATAGTTTGAAGTAGAATTGAGCCCATCCATTCCTGCTGGATTAGTAATGTGTTTTAATGATATTGCATTTGTATTATTTTAATTTTCTTTAATGAGACATCAAAGAAGCAACAGAATGTGTCTTTCATATTCTAGACACACCACGATGTTTTGGTATTTTCCATTCCTTCAGATTCACCACCAACCTTATGTAATGAAACACAGAAGCTGTTCTCGGTAGCTCTACAATGTACAATAGAAAACCTTGTGATTCTGGGAAACAAAGGAGTTCAAATCAGGAAAATAACTGAAAGCTCTTACATAAAAGGAGAAAAATCTCTTCAGGAAGGCTGCCACTGGACAGGATGCCCTTCTCCTAAGTTGCATTAGGTGAGTCCACATCCAGATCTGAGGATGAAAAACCCATACCGCATGCATTAGAGTTGTGTATCTCCTAGCACAAGCAGGGTTGTTGAGTTACATGGCATGATTAAATTGAGCTGTATCTTTGCTGAAACTTGCAGTTGTCTCCATTGTGGAACAGGTGGGAATTATATACCAAAACAAGTGTCTTCACAGAGGAAAACAAAACCTTGTTCTGAAAATATACTGACTTTCCACCAAAGATGGTATAATTATGACCAGAATTACTCATAGAGCAGAGCCATGCTATGGAGTAAGAACAGGAGAATAATGCATACAAGGTTTATTTCCTTTTCAGGAGGCATAGTATTTTCAAAGTGAATATTACAATTGGCATAGTGTAAGGCAGCCACTGCTTCCCTTCAGGAGAAAGAAAGGGTCTCATACTTGTTCCTTTTTCTCATTCTTACCATACATAAGCATACATCAAATGAAAATTTGGTCTACTGTCTTCAGTATCATATTTTCCATGAAAGCAGCACTACTGGGACCAATAATATGCATATTTTAACGCTAGGCAAAAGTGCAAATGGCTTTAAAAAGCAATTAGATAAAAGCACAGAGCGTAAGGTCATTAGTGACTATTAGACAAAATGGACAGAGTAAAGCAATAGGTTTAATTCTCTCTAACTAGTGATTGCTGGAAGCTGCCTTCTCTGGAAACTATGTCAAAGCAGGGTCATGCTGTATGAGCCCCATTTCTTGCACTCTTCCTTGATGTATCTGTGGTGAAGTGCTGTGCAAGAAAGGAGGTCAGCTAGACAATGCTAGAGCAGCAGACCTTTTGCATGTGGGAAGAGAGATACACCAAAGCCCCCCTTCCTCACTGTGACAAGAAATATGGCAGAATCATGATTCCAAACTCCCCCAAGAAATGTAGTAGTTTTAAAGTATTTGATTAGTACTAAAGGGCATAATAAAGCTAGCTGGTAGCTTGCATTATGCAATGAAAGCAGGTAAACCTTTGCTGGAAAAGAGTAAGAAATCCTACAACATAAATTAGCATGCTCTTGCCTACTATTTCTGCAAGAGACAATTCTGCTCTCTTTCTCATGGTAAGTGGTGCCTTGTTTTGCGACCAATAGCATTGAAAGCCAGTGTGGTGCGTGTGTAATGGACTGAAAATGAACACATGCACAGATAGTGAAATATACCATGGATTACAGAGATTCATATGATCTCTTTATTTCTTGTTTTCTTCAAGATCTCTTAAGGGGAGATGATAGTGAAGAACATGTATTAGTCTTTATGTGAGGGAGATTTTTGTCTTTTAGAATGTACAATTGAGAGTGTACAGGATGTAAGCTAATGGGATAGTGCCAGCAAAATACAAGACAAATGATTAGTTTTATTCTTGTTTCTTTCTATTTTGCTTCTTGAGGGAAATTCTGGCAGGATAAGAATAATCATACAGACTTCCTATAGTTCCTACAGACTGCTCCCTGCTACAAATCACCCTGGACTTTATAAAAGAAATCAGGAACTCTCCTGTTAAAACTTGTCATTGACTAGTTTTCTGGTTAATTGTCGGCTGATTTTGCTGACACTGATCTGTAATGCCATCCTTCAGTGGAGGAATTATTGAGAATGCCTTACTGAACACAGATGAAGGAAAGTTTCCTTAGCAACAAGAATACCATGGAATACTGAAAAGCTCTCTGGTGACTCTCCTTCTTTCTGTACAGCAAAAAAGGGCTTTTTTTCTACTTATCTGTTTTGTACAGTATAAATACTCAGACACACAACCTGATATTTTCTACCTACTTTCAATATTTCAAGCAAATCAAGTTAAAAAACTACTAATTCTTCAGGCATCATGCAAAGTAATTCTCTTGGTATGCCAAATTCTTTCATTAATTAATTTGCAAAAACCTATTAGCACATAGAAAAAAAAAAAAATTAGCCTGACTTGTATGCAAGGAAATGTGTATACTTAATAACTGAGATAATACTTTGCACCTCTATAGCACTTCTCTAGACATCCTTTACCAACCTGAAGAACTTTAAAGACAGATCTTAAATACATTTAGACATCTGCAGATGGAGATGGATGCCTGGAGAATTTTCAGTAAGTTATTTCAATAATCCATCAGTTATCTGTTAGCTCCCTTACGAAAAACAGCAAAATACAGATTCCAGTGGTGCAGCATAAGAGCAGGAAAAAAAACCACAAAAAAGCTTTGAAAGAGTTAAGAAAGTCCAACCTTATGATTCCTACCACTGTGCTTTAATGACTAACTAATGTTCCCTGCAAGGCAAGCCTGAGTAATTAATGCAATGTAGGGAAATAATATTGTTAAAAGCCTACACCTGAGTGGAAAGACATCATATGGCTGTTGTCCTGCAGAGGTAGCTCACCTTGAAACTGTGGCTTCATCCCCTCTGTTACCCACCATGACCACTCCATCACTTAGCCATCCATTATCATGACAAGGGACAAACACTGAATTACAAGAAGCCTTGTGGGGCAATATATTTATGTGCTGGCAATAACTAGCAGCTGCAACATCTTGGCCGCTTTCAGAACTGACTCCAGCTCCACTTTAAGGTACAGTATTTGGAAGGTTTGGTTTTAGTTTTCTGCCAGGTACGACTGCCCTCTATGAATAACACTCAGCCTGTAATTTGCTAAGACTAAGCATGCCAAAGGTTTTATTTTCTACAATAGCTCCTCCATCATTCCAGTGTTCCTTGTCTCTGCTTATTTTAGTTTGAATTCATCTTTCCAGAATGTGGGGTTAAAGTGCATTGGAACTCCAGTAAAAAAAAAAAAAAATGTTTTTACATCCTCTAAAGAGTAACTTTTGATTCTTTCTCAAATGGGAGTTTACCAGAAAGTTCTACATAGCACAAGAACTGTTGCAAAGAAAGGCTTGGTGTTAGGTCCACTGAATTAAGTATTTTTTCATCCCTTCTAAAGAAGTTTTGGTCTCAAAATCTTGCTGTTTTTCACATATAGCCTGCTTTTTACTAGTGTAGGCAATATAACAATGTGTTAAGGGAAGAAAGCAGATTCTTAATACAAAAAACCCAGAATGTAAAATAATAATTTGCAAAGCAGTATTGCTAGCTGAGGGTATGAATTCAGGTATACTTCTCTGATAGTACTATAATTTCATTGATTCTCTCATGGGAAATGACAGCTAAAAAATTCCTGCCAAAGCTCAAAATGTGTATTAGATAAAATATGTACTACTGGAATGTAACTGAAAATCAGTGGGCATATTGGTTGAGAAAGATAAACAAAGAAAAATAAATATTTTTCTGGTGTGAAATCATTGTATCACATATTTTTATGCCAGTTTATATTTCCAAAGGACAATGTTTTAAAAGCACTTTAAAAAAGTGAGTATACCTCATTATGTTTTCTTGCAGGGTACACATTTATTTGTAATTTTCTTTGTGCAGTAATAAAAATTGCATAATCGGAACATCATTATGATCAGAAGAGATTTAATTGTAATGCAAGTTTAATTGCCATGAATGACAACCATATTATGAAGAATACAATGCATTTGATATTTTTACATATTTGCAGGGTGCAACACTAAAATATATTTTCTAGTAAATGACAAGCTAATTTATGGCTCAGAGAGTAGAAAACCCTATTCTATCTCTCTGTAAGATGGTAAACGTCAAGATATAGACACCCCTGCAATAGAGCATTAGGGTGTTTTACATCAAATCTCTCATGACAAGATGACATTTTCACCTGTTAATAAAACCCCAACAAACCAGGGGACTGCACACCTGCTAAATCTCAGATAAAGAATGACAGCATCATGGTTAGGATTTCACCTTATGGGCCTGGGTTTTTTGTTTAGACATCATGCATGTGTGTGTGTCTGGCAGTGTACTGTAGCCATTGCCTGTTGGCATTTCTGATGTGCTGGCTCTTTAAACTAAGACACAGATATCCTGGGATAGTGATTTGAAGGCTGATAAATAAGGCATGGAGCTCCACCGACTCAGGAAGTGCAAAGAAGAACCAAGCCTGCTGGTAGCTGCTGGTACCAAGTCCCTCTTCCTGGAACATCTCTTCTGTGCACGTGCAAGTATTACGTGACGCAGGGATAGCAATGCACCTCCATTCAGTTCTTGAGCACTTAGCCATATGCATTAAAGCCATCACACAGTATAACCTGGGGTGCTACTCATGGTGCACCATAAACTCTATTCAAACATTTCTTTCCAAATTTCTCAAGTGGAAAACCAAAATACCCCAGAGAGAGCTGAGAAAATGCACCCCTGAGGGGAAGCTGGAATTACAGGACAGTGTAAGGAGCTTTGGAAATATAACACAACAGACACATTGGCTCTGAAGCAGTTCTTTGGAAAATTCACAGATGAAATTTCTTGGACAAAAATTTTCTTTTCATATAAGACAAAAATTAATCACATGTTAAAACACCATAAATTTACCTGGCTCTGTAGGTCATCTATACCTGTCAATGACAAAGTTAGTACTTTGCTTAGACCCAGTAGACTTCTGCCTCATTCAATCTATTTATTACATATACCATAATGCTATCACTACTTTATGAAAGTGACCACTAGTTTATGATTACCTAATAGCCAAGTTTATTTGCTTCAGCTGTGCTGAGCCTCTGCTGTCAGAGGAAGTGCTTGTGTCACAGCTTTCGTGAGCAAGGTGCCATCAGGATTTGGCTCTTACCCCTACTGTAATACTGCATGAACTGTCAGGTGTGTGTCTTCTGTATAAGTGCAGGCTTTCGGACAAAGAGGGAGTCTTCACTGGATACCAGCACTGTGCTATTTTATGTACATGTGCTGTTTAGGATGTGCTTCCTGTAAGTAACCAAATGCCTTATTACTAGGTTATTATTTGACCAGTATTCTGAAGAGAGGAGGATGTGTTAGCTAGAGCCTGTCTCTCTAACTAGAAACTCACAATTACGCCAGTGAAATATTACAGGTTAAGGGAAGATGAAGATATTTGTCACTTTGTATCAAATTTGGCCAAAATAAAATGCAACCTACCCCAAATTTTGCAATTTCCTCGTAAAATACTGCAGTTTGCAAACATAATAAAAGCAGAGGGATGCACTGGTTGTGATTTGCACACTCGTGTAGATGGTACCTGGCTGGTTTGCTATGCTCCTGCTCCAGGTCCGAGCTCTTCTGGAGGAAGTCTTGCTATAGCTGTGGCAGCTGGGACTGGGTGGCAGAGCCTGCGGAGGGCTGCTGAGGGCATAGCAAAGCCCACACACCCCCTATGGGGGTGCCAGGCTGCTACACAGCCCCAGCTAGACTCCGCTTTGTTCTATAGCTACAGCGGATGCGCCAGCAACCCGAAAACTGTTGCTTTTTGCATAAAACACCTTGTTTTGGTCAGTCCGGGATCCCTCTTTTGCATGTTCCCCTGCAGTGAGGCTCTTACCCCACCCGCCTGATGGCAAGTTGCAATCACATGTGCATCTGTCTGGGTGTCTGCCTAAGCAGCCGTGGTAGCTCGGGGCTTTCCCAACGCCAGGAAGCCCAGCCGCTTGGACGTGTGGTGGGTGGGACAGCAGCCCTTGCCCTTCCCCAGGGCGCTGCCGCCTCGGTGCGTGGCGGTGCCCTGCTGCAGGCCCTGCGCCAGGCCCACCTTCCCCTCCTCAGAGCACATCCGCAGCGCTGAGGTGACTTTGCAAAGGTGGTAAAACCGTTTCTGTCCATACCTGACGCTGGAATGGAAACCTGGCAACAAAAGTCTTCCTGTCGATAATAACTGTGGTCCTAAATCAGCTCAGGTGTTAATGCGAGTGAGTCACAGCCGTGGCAGGAGAGCCATGCCTGCGAAGCCATTGTTCGTCAAGGACATTTGAGGGGATGAAGCAAGCCAGGATTTTTGTCTTGTTTATAATGTCTGTTGCAGTTCCACTCATGTGGGCAGTGTCAGTCAATCAGCGTGGCACTGCAGCCCAGAAGCTGTTTTTTCCTTCTCTGCTGTGCGTACTGAAGGGGAGGATAGACCCTGTCATGCTGCTGCCACTTGTGTTGCTTTCTGCATGCTGACCCTTTCTATCTTCGTGTCACTGTGTGGTGTTACTTTTTAATTATGCTGACAGAAGCAGTGAAAATGCTACTTTTTTCACATTGGAATATAGTATCTATCTTGGTTTATCACACATGGAAGCTGATTCCAATGTCCTGCGCTCTCAGGTCTAGTTTAGTGCTTTCAGATCCCATAGCAGGTACAGGCAATTCCCTGTATATACATTCCTGATAGTGTATTTCTGATAATATTTACCTTATCTTTACATAACATATAACGTCTTCAAAGAGGAAAACCTGTGCTACGCAGCAGTTGACTAAAAAGCTCCTTCTGTATTTGGCTGCCCCTGAGGAAAATGAACAGTTTGTTTCCAGTGTTCTGGTACTTGCCTGAGTCAGCAGGGAGCCTGAAGCATTTGTTTCCCCGAACTTGAGCTGTATTGAAACTGCTGGTAACTTGCTTGCGCAAGTGATGAGGGAAATCTGTGGTTTAAAGACCTCACTTTGGTGAATCTTGCATTAGTTTGGCCTGCAATAGAAGAAATCCAGAGTAGGATGCTGTGGAAAACACCCTTTTCCCTCACAAACTTCAAATATTTTAAGTTGTTTTTAAAATGTTAAACTAGTTAAACTACTCTTTCTTTTGAGCAGTCTCAGTGCATAAGGGTTATACTCTGGTGTGGCTGCAATGGTAAGGTTCTTTGATGGTAAAATCTGAAGGATTATTTCCCTTCTACAGATCTGTCACTGTGTATTTTGAAGGTAAGGCCGCAACAGAACATGTGGCAGGACAGATGCTTCATTTCTTTCCAGCTGTAGCTAGGAAGGACGTGTGGGTTCTTGGATCCTTGGCTTGGATGGTATGCACATCACTCTACTGTGGATTTTAGCTTCTCGGGGCCTTTTTTTTTTTTTTTTCAATTGAAAATATTAGATTTCCTCTTCTAAAATTCATTTAAATTCTTATTCATTGCTAACTCTTTTAGCTGAAATTAAGTTGTGATTCTTGGTAGGTCAAGATAAACGCAAGAAACTAGGTTTTAAGACTTTTTTTTCTTCTTCCCTAGTCATATACCCATGAACCTATTTGAAGGTGCTTTGATTTTCTGTGCTTCCCTCCTAAGGATGTGAAGGCACAGCAGAATCAAAGTATAATGTGAAGAAAGCTTTGGCAACCATGTCCTCCTGTTCTAAAGATGCCACCAAGATCTGCTGCAGGTAGAGACAGTTAGCTGTCTGATGGCCTGAGGGGAGAGGAGCCAGCAGAAAGTGCTGCATAAGGCACTCTGTGTTCTGAGGGGCAAGGAGGCTGAATTGCAGAAAGGGCCCCAGCCCGCCAGAGATGGGAATACAAAGTTTGGGAGGACAGGTTTTGTTCTACAGTCTCTGGCTGGTCCCTTGATCTTGCACTTCAGCTTGCTAGCAGAAAAGTCAAGACTATTCAGTCAGATTCAAGGTCTCTGAGGTGGAAAGGGGAAGCATTAGGACTACTTCTGCCTTCTGTAAGAAAATCTAAATCCTAGCTGTGAAATGGCATGCTGCTTTTCATCACTAGTTTAGAAAAAGGCACTGCTTTTAGAAATGAGTTTTCCATTTTAAAGCCAAATTATCTGCAGGTTTAAACTTGTTTACTGCAGTGGAGGAGCACCAACCTCACTAGTCACCTTTGTAGTATTTACCATTATTTCAAAGCATTTACCCTCAGAAAAGCAAGAGCAGCACTATTCTGCCAGTTCTTCCGGCATCTTAAAGATTTCAGTCCTATCCCTTTTAACCTTCCTTTCCTCTGTGGATTTTTTTTTTTTTTTTTATCTTGAGTTGAAAGAATTTGTGCTGAGTAGAGTTCAGAAAGGCTCAGTTTTCTTCAAAGCTTACAAACCTCCTTTTCAATAATATTAATTATTGCTAACAGGTTTCTCACAGATTCAACTTACATAAGCTCTTAACTGATTATAAAATTGTTTTAAAAGTGAAGACTGCTTGGTTTGCTGGTGATTGAGGTTCCTGGAATTAAGTGAGCATTTTTCTTTGATGTATTGTCATTGTTTCTCAAATACACTTAAAGTGGATAGTGTAGATCATTCTGTAAATTTCTGATGTGAGCTGTTGTTTATTTTGTTGAACTACACTTCTATTGCATAATTGCATTTGCCAGGTGGAAATGAGAGCTGTCTTTTTGAAATCACAACTAATAGCATCTTGGGAGTTTATTCCAACTAAATACTGCCCCAGTTTGTTCCTGTCTTTACATCTAATGCATATCAGTCAACTTCATAAAGCAGCTTTCAAGGTTAACAGTCTGCATGCCCAAGGATAGATGGCCTACTTATTTATTAAAAAAAAAAAAAAAAGTAGGATTTTCAGCAAGTGACAGGGACTTCTGAAGGTAAAAAAAAAAAAAAAAAAAAAAAGAAACAAAAAAAAATATTAATTTGTAGAAATAGGAGGTAGTAGATACAGGAAAACCTAGAACTACATACAGAAAACAATGACTGTGAAATAGTTTCTTCTAGCTATATTAGGATGTAAATGAGATTTAAATTAAATGAAGGAAAGTAACCAACAATTATAAAATCCTATTTCTGAAAAATGTAATTTAGGATTTATACTAATTCTCTATCAGACCTTTATGCTATCTCTATAATAAAAGGTGAAAAGGTGACTTACGCTATTTAAAAAGGAGGTTATTGCAAATTGGAGATAGAGCTATAATTGGGTCTCCTGCTGATGCAAGTGAAGAAAAAAAACAATTAGTGGAACACTTAAGAAAAAAGGCTAATCTCAAAAAATTGGTTGGAAAATAGAAAGTTCTTTCCTTTGACATGCTAACACAGATAATGATAATTAAAGCTCTCTGCAAAAGTTGCCGGACTCGACAACTGGGCTTCCCTGTTGTGTAACTGATTTCCCTGGTGCAGTGTGCTTTTGTGTAAGGATTCGCTGTATACCTATGTCATTCTGAGGGTTTGTGTTTTTATTCACTCTATTTGCTAATTAGGAGTATTGTAATTCTGCATTTTAATCCATTCACACCCCTCTGTTTTATTTTTCTCCAGTGAGGTACAGAGTTCTTGTGTACAAAAATCATTGAATACCTGCATATGATTGAGGTGACTGCTGTCATCTTCATTAAGCATCTTCCTAGGCAGCTGCTGACTGTACCCTGGTGTGCACCCAGGCTGATGAGCAAAGGATTTGTAACCAGCATATCTCTAGAGTTTATTTGTGTGCACTGAGATTCTGACTTCTCAGGACAAGGATTTAAAGGTAGAGCAGATTTAAATGCCATTTGGGCTCTGAAAACAGAGCCAGAAAAAATAGAAGGCTAATCATAACTTTTATAGGTGTCATCAAGTGAACTTCAGTTACTCTCTTTGGATAGTGCTTGACATGTAGTTCTTGTAACCCCCAGTTCAGTGTGGTATCCTGGCAGCAGGTGGTTAGTTAGGCCAACAGGCCCTAAACCTGCTCCCTCAGCTGTGGTGGGATCAGCATCTGAGGTGCTGTATGTTTAGCTGAGCCGCAGCTGTCATTTGTGTTGCAGGATAGAGGAGTATCACAGGCATCCTGCAGTTCTTCTGAGAAAAGTTCTTCTTACTGGATTTATACTTAATAATTGGTCTTACATTACTGAGTTTTTGCTAAGCTTTCTCTAAGGCCTGCTTTATCAATATTTTATAGAAAATGTTCTTTCCTGAAGTCTCTTATGAGCAGCAAAGGTCAGATATGATGGCAATCTTAAAACCCAAATTTTTATTTGACCTTTATATGCTTAACAAGTGTGTAATTCTCACCTCCCATTCACCCTCCTCACCCTCAGCCAGTGGGAAGGATAATGTGCTGTGTCTTTGATGCTAGGTGTCTCAAATGGCTAAATTTCTCATATTTATTTTCTCATATTCAGTTCCTAAATCACTTTTGTTAAATGCTCCAGCTATGAGGCTTGTAACTCTTTGAGCAACATATCCCTGCATTGTTGTTGTTTGCTGGGTGGTGGCTGAGGGGTAGAGGGGAGCCCCTCAGCATTTCCAGCTTGCATTCTTTACAATAAAAATAAGCCTTTTCCTGTAGAATGGAACCAGTTGGAACTTTAATATTGAATTAGTGCTCATCGGAGTTGTGAGTATCAGGGCCATTTGGCAAGCCTGCAAGACGTTTCTGTTTCTTGTTGAGATTATGAAATTGCTGGGATTTGACAGACAATATGACAGCTATGCACAGAAGGATGAGGTAATTTTCCCCTTGGATCAGGAAGTATTACCCTTATGAACCTTGCGTATTTTGCATTGGAAAGGTAGGCTGCACCTTGGGAGGGAAAGTAGAGGAAGGGCATTAGCAAACCTGAAGATCAGGAATGCACTGGTCGGAGCTTAGAATTGCCTTTCTCTGCACCAGTTTGTCTCAATCAAGTTTTTGAGGGGACTTAATTGTTGGTGACAGATAAACCCAGAATTTATAGAACATGCATATGTCATGAAGAGAAAAATAAATCTTTGTGTTCCTCGGTGCAGAGTAACATTGTAGATACAGTTTATTTTGATCTATTGGGGTAGATGCAGTCTGTCAGGATATTACAAATATTCACACATTTTCCCAGTTCTGCATGTGTCAGATATTTTTTTTTACCACCCAAGCAAGTGCTCATCCCCAAACTGATATCTTAGTGCTTTAGTTAGGTGAGCTCTCTGTCTTGGAACTGATTAGTCATTGATTGGAAAATTTGACTTGTATCTTTCTGAGAATTTTCTTTTTCAGCTTGGTGAATGTGATTCATTTATTTATTTCATCTCCTTTATTTTTTAGCCATGTTAAGTAATGTATTGGGCTCTGGACTTGGCAATTTTAGGCTGCATATTGTAACTAAAACAATATAGTGAGAGGCTGGGAAGGTGTAAGGAAAACAAGGGTATTTTGCCCTCTTCTGTCTGTTGAGGTGATCCTCCCTAATACATTTACAGCCTGTACTTAAAGAAACACAGTAAATGCAGGTTATCATGGTTGTTACCATGAAATCCTTTATCATCCCGGTTTGGATGTTTCAGGTTGCTTCAGAACTAATCTGTCACTAATATAAAATTCTTTTCATCTCTATGATTTTTATATGTGTGTGATATATTAGAGATGTAAAATTATTCCAGCTATAGGGAAGTGGGGTTGGATTACTGGTATTTAGGCCAAGAATTGAGGCAGGCAGTATGTGGAAGCAAAAAGGGGTAGTTAAACTTTCTGGTCTGCTCTTTTTATAAGACATTTTGTTGCCAAACCTGTTTTGAGCTTCTGACTGAACTTATCACACTACTAGGTATTTTCCAAAAATAGTTAGAATTTATGATAGGGGTTCCCCCCAAAATGTGGGCTTTGGGAACTTTGGTTTTGTAGGATTTTTTTTT